ACCTCCGACACGGGCGGGCTGACAAGGGGGTGGGCACACCACCAGCATTTTACCGAGCCACCGAAGTAATGTATGTTCTCTGATGAAATGGCAAACACTTGCAGCTTTTTGGTCCTTATTGCAGAAGAAAAGTAAGGAGATGGAGGCGGTGGGGGAGGGGAGCATCAGCACGACAAGGCATTTCCAAGTGGGAGGCTGGAATGTTCTGTTCCGCCCCCCTTCCCTTGGGGGGACGTTGCCCCCTCCCCCTTGAAAGCTGTCTACGTGTGAGATACGTAGGAATCTGTAGAGAAAATCAACATTTGGTCCTTTGCTTTAGAAAAGCAACTTGAGAGGAGAGGAAGGCAGTGGCTGTGGGGGCTTAGTGGCTCGGGTTTTTTGGGTTTTTTTCTTTTCTTTTCCCTGCGGGCACCGGAGTTCTGCAGGCAGCCGGCCCTTTTAGGTGGTGGATGGGGGAGGCTTTCCAAACTCAGCGGATTTGGGAAGCCATCCCGGTGCCGGCGGGGCGAGACCCAGGGTGGCAGAAACGTATGTCTGGGCACAGGGAGTCGTTTCTTGCCCGCGATCCCGCCGGGGCTTCACCAGAGATGTCTGTGGGGTCCCCGGTGGATTAAAGAAAGATCCTGCCGCCTGGCACTGGGAGGGCTGCCCCTGACGTGCTGCTCATGGTGGTCACAGAGCCCCGCAGTGCACTCCACTCCAGAGGGTGTGCGAGAGAATGAGCAGAGAACGGGTGGCTTAAACCCTAGTGGATTCTACCCCCTTCCACACACTGCCCCCATTTCAGCTTTGAGGCTGTCCCTCGATTGTGTCTTCTGAGTATGAAGACGAGTCTTTGATTATTTCCGTGAACAACCATCTCCCCGTGGGCTCCTTAAGCTTCTTACAATGAGCTCTGTCTTGTTGCAGCTGGTCTGGAGAGGGTCTGCATTGCTATTGTCAGGGACCTGTTGGACATCTGCTTTAAAAACAAACGAAAAAGATGACAGAGAAACCTCCTGGAAGTGAGTGTGGACAAGCCCACCTTCTTGACAAAGATACCCAAGGAGGTGACAGGGAGAATCAAATGTGAATCTCCGCTCCTCTCTTTGGATTCCCATCATTTCTGACTCTTAGGAGCTGATAGTAAGTGGGCACTATCTGTGGGTTGCACTCATGCTGACACGAATGAGGTGGATTGCCAAAGCTCCCAGGCTGGCTGGGCTTTGGACAAGTAATTACATCCAAGCTGAAGACACCAACCAGTGGAATCAAAGTCACCAAAGTCTGGTGGCACTTTTCAGGAAAAGCCATAAGAACAGGGGCATGAATCATTCCGTTCTGTATTCATCTGAGCTCCGCCCTGGTCATTCATCTCTGAGATGCAGCATTTAATTGGAAAACAATAATCTGAAATGCCCTAGACGTCACATGCCGTCTTAGGGGCTTAAAGAGACATTAGAAGACCATCCCCATTAATTTTGCATGTGGTGGAGCTGAGGCACAGAGACATTGGGTGATTATCCAAGGTCTTAGCTTGTTCCTGGGATGGATAGGTTTTTTCCTGTCCCACACCGAAGTGGTGGTCTTCCTTTCCCATTTGTGGGGTTAGGTTTATCTGTTTAATTGCTTTTTTGATGGAGGTACTGGGGATTGAACCCAGGACCTCACGCATGGCATGCGCTCTACCACTTGAGCTATGCCCTGCCCCCCTTCCTTTCCCATTCTTGATGTTTGCCTCTCTTGTCACTCTTACCTCCTTCCTCACTCTGGCCTGGGCACCTGCAGGTTTTGTCCTGGCACCTCCAAGGTGCTGCAGAACACTGTAACAGACAAACAGCTTCGCCATCAAGTGTTTTCACCTTTTGCCAAGACAGTTACTCCTGGCAGCGGGCTGGCTGATTGAGCGATAAACGCTAAAGGGTTGGGGAGCCGGGGCAGGCAGGGGTGAACACTGGCCAACCATTCAGCAAGTGTCATCTGGACAAGCCACCCAATCCCCATGGATGCAGGGAAGAAAATTCTCCTAATGCAGGCAGCTTGGCAAAGTGGCGTTGGAGCCTGCCAAATGGGCAAGAAGAGGACCCACTTTGGATGTCACTTGATTTGTAGGGCTGGTACAGAGAGGCAGAAAAGAGTTGAGTGTTGGCAAGAAGGAGAGAGAATAAAATTAAATTCACTGCATTTATATGTGAGTTTTCATCTAAGTATGCTACTCAAAACGTAGAAGATGTGTCTAGGATGTAATTAAAAATATATATATGTATATATATATATATTGCTTTTCACATTATTATCCTGCAGATCATCTCATCTGGATGGTATCTTTAAACCTTTCCCACTTCTAATGTGGCAAGTTTGAATCTTTTCTACGGTTTTAAACCCCTTGGCAGAACCGTATACATTAACAGATTGAAATGAGCTTTATTGAAATTTAGCTATTCTAAGTCATCTAAGTTGCAGAATCCCAATTTATTATGTATTTAAAGCATACCATCCCTGATTAAATCAATGCAAATTAGGTTAAAGCAGAACAACATGAATCAAGGGTTTCAGCAAAGTTGAGTCGAGAAACGACAACTTTTGAGTCACCACAGCAAGTTAACACGGCTGTTTTTCACTAGTTTTAATTTCATGCTTCTTAGGGTCCAACACACTGAAAAATGGAAAAAAAAAAAAAGGAAAGAGATCACCTAAATTTCTCTCTTTCTTCATGTTTGATCTTTCGTATCTCTTGACCTGTCTTGTGAGAACATCTGATTTACCAAGTTGCACACTTGGAAAACACCACTGACATTTCCGTGTTTGTATGGGGAAAGAGACGGAGCCTGTCTTGCTGAACCACCATATAGTAGTTGGGCATCAAAAAAAAAAAAAACACCATAAGCCATCAGCTAGCATGTGATTGGGAACTGGGGGAAGAAAGGATAGGAATCTTGAAAATGTGGATTCAGCAAACGGGAAGGAACTCTGGGTACATGAAGTATGAGTCTGATTGCCGAAACACAGTCTGGCACCAAAGAGGAGGTAGAGGAGGAAGCTTGGCGCAGCTGGAGAAGCCAGAAGTATGACTTGGAGGAGGGGGAGGCACCCCATTCCTCCTCCCCTGAACCTTACACATTGCCCTTCGCATAACTAGCCCTGCTGCTTTTCCTTCATACTTTGTGTTGTAATGAGGTTGGAGGAGGGGGCGGTCCCATACAGGGTTGTGTGGTTTTTTTTAATGTGTTCTACCTCTTCCCATTTCATCTCACCTGAAGGCCACCTCCAGTTTGTTCACCTGCGTCAAAATAGTTTGTGAACCAAGAGATGCAAAGTGAAAACCCTCTGAAATGCACATGCTTTCTGGGGGCTGGCCTTCCATCAGCAGTCTTTGGCAGTGCTCAAGGAAAGAGAAATTCGAGTGGTGATTTTAATGTTCTCTCAGCCTGGACCTTGATCTTTATGTGGTTGCCTTTAATTTTCAGCAGCAATGAGCCATGGCTTTTCTTTAAAAGGAAACATTTAGAGGTATGGGAGGACAGTGGGAGACAATTTCAAAAGAAGAGAATTAACGCTGTTGTTTCTGTGGGCACACAGCATACAGCTGGCACCTTACAGAGTGCCTCTGTGGACGCACAAGGGGCCAAAGGATGAGGGCAGTGAGGCTTCTCTTGGGAGAGCTACTTAGCAGGAACCCTTTAGAAAAAGAAATTTGGGTTTGCAGATATAATTACTGTATATAAAACAGATAAACAACGAGGTCCTGCTGTATAGCACAGGGAACCATATTCAATACCTTGGCTCATGATGAAAAAGAATATGAAAAGGAATGTGTGTGTGTGTGTGTGTGTGTGTAAATGTATCACTATGCTATACACCAGAAATTAACGCAACATTGTAAGTTGACAATACGTCAGTTTAAAAAGAAAGAAATTAATTTATAAAAGGTCATTTTTCTTATCAAACTGTGTCCTCCTCTTAGAACAGACCAGTAGCATGGATGGCACTGAGGCAGCGCCTACTGTGTTTACTGTATGATGTCCAGTCATGGGGGTGAAGACGTGCAGTGACTCCTTGCTTTCCTCCTGGAACTCCAGGTAGGAGAGAGGAGCAGAGGCCGAAGGGCTTATTTATATATTGTTTAGAATAAGTAATATTTAATTAGTATAAGTAATACATTGAAAAATCTTTTTGAGAAGCAGTCAGTTGGAGCCCTCACAAACCCTAGCCTGAAAGAGTAAGCCAGGTGTCGTTCATTTCCGAGTTTTAAAACTGAGACATTGGAGGGCCAGAAACGTCGGGCCAGGATTGCCCAAGAACTTGGACAAAAAGCTCCCTTCTTCTGAATCTTGTTCTCTGTCCTGTTAGATCTCAGACACACAGAA